CACACAACACCATTGGTGTCTTCCACTGAACCAATCCTTGTTTTCCACTTCCAGGCTTGAACCCAACCTGTGAGAACTGCATCCCTGGGTGGCAAAGCTGTCATCAGGCTCCTTGAGTCCCAGGGGGAGACAGACCATAGGACTGAGCTTCCCCGGGGCTCTGACTTGCAGCATGGGGCTGTGGCATCCTACCTCTCCTTTGGCAGTTTGAAGCGGGGTTGCCGGTGGCAGCGTTTGCTGAGGTTGAAGAGCCTCCGGATGATGTGGTGGGTTTTCCTGGAGAGCAGCTTGAGGCTGGTGCTCAGCTGCTGGTAGCGGTGTTGAATGTCCGGGTCCATGGCCCAGAAGTGGGAGATGGCTGTCCTGTTCAGGAAGCGGTCCCCTGGGAGCTTCTTTACTAAGGCCTGAAACTCCTCTGTGGGGAGACAGATACCAAGTCAGCCAACCTGGCGTCATCAGTTTTAAAAAAAAAATGCCCACAGGCTCTTTGGTTCTCAGGGCAAGACCCATCTTACGTGCTTGCTATGAGACTACTTGTCTGGACGCTGTCCTACAGCCTCCGCCCACCCTGAGCACCCATGGGTGCTCCCTGGCCGCATGTGCTAACCTGACCTACTTCAAGAGAAGGCTCTGGGCAAGGAGATGCTATTGGAGCCGGGATATAGCACCCGGTACGGTGTCTCCCATCCTTACCTGACTCCTCAAACTGGCTGTGGTGGCTGTCCCAGGCGCGCTGGAGCTGGACCAAGTTGCCTTCGAGTGCTTGGATGTCGGCCTCAGGGCAGTTGCAGTGGGGGAAGGTGGGCTGGCATTGGCAGCGACAGTCGCTCCGGCGGCACACCAGCTCCCCAACCGAGCTGCAGGCGATGTAGCTCAGAGCGGCTGCCACGAAACGCTCCCTCAGGTGATGGGGCAGCACCATCTGCAGCCCTGCAGGTGAAAAGGAGCCCAGGGGAGATAAGGAGGCTCAGCACTCCCAGATGGACCCCCCTGGGCCCCTCCCAGACCACCTGGATGCTTACATCCACTGGCAGCAGAGCCGCCTGTCTGGACTCTCCATTGATCGCAGCTCCTCTTGGCAAAGGAGACGCATCTCCTTCCTGCCCAACTTTAACTTATTTATCTCTAAAGCAGCAGCATGACCTGGCACCCCACCCCCTCCCCACATGAATCCCTTGGTGGCCCTTCTGCCATCCCTGCATGGTCCCTACCTTGCAGCTGCACCTTGTTCTCCGGGCTCTGCACCAGCACCGAGCTCACCGAGTCCAGGTTGTCGTAATTGCTGCAGCCCAGTGGCCCTGTCCGTGTTTCTGTCACCTGGTTGGGATCGCAGATGGTGAGGGACACAGGAGAGGATGCGTACCACTATGCACAGAGGGGCTGCAGACAGCTCCTAGCTAGCAAGGCAACACTGCGGCAGCTTGGAGAGGAGAAATAATTGCCTGCTAATTGGCTTGTTGACAGCCAGCAGCCCGGCCTCCAGCCTGCTGAAAAATGCGCCTTCATTAGCGCGCCCAATTTCCCATAAATAATGCGGATGTGCACACTTCTCCAGGGTTCACCCTGCCCTGCCCTGCCTTGTCACCATCCCTGCTGGGCCGCACTGCCCACCCGCTGTCTCCCTCTAGCTGCCCCCTCGCTTACCTTGATGGCAGAAGTGGCAATCTGGATGTGGTGCAGCCGGCGCAGCGTGCTCTCGCGGTCGATGAAGTAGGAGGCTGCCAGCTGGTGCAGCGTCTCCAGTGACACTGCTGAGCCGTTCCCAGACCCTGACAGCTCTGCCCGGTGGCTCAGCTTGCGTTTGTCCACAAAAATGGTCAGGGACTCCTCTCCTGTGGGGACACATGATGTGTCCCCTTCTTGGTCATATTTCTCCCCCAAACCCGTCGTCTTTCTGCCCCCAGCTCACCTCCCAGTGTGGCAGCCAGCAAGAAGTGTGTCCCGTATTTCTTGATGATGCTGTCGGTGACCTGCTGCAGGCTGGGCCGGCGCCCCAGCAAGCGGATGTTGCGGATAAATTCAGGGGCGAGGGGCAGTGGTAAGCTGAAGAAGTCCTTCCTCTCCAAGGCCAGGTTGTTCACCTTCCAGCGTGCAAACTCCCTGCAGCAGGAAGGAGAAAAATGACGGTCAGAGGTCAGAGCCTGGAGATGGATGGGGAAAGGGATGCTCAGGGACAAGGCTTCATCGGTCTCTAAACCACTGATGGTAATAATGAGCTGCATGCATCAGAGCTCTCCAGGTGGCATTGATGTCACCTCTTCCATCCTGCTGGCTTCACCCATCTTTGATCCCCATTCCCATGGATCCAGGTAGAAATCCAGTGCCTGGGTGCTTACAGCTGTGGATGATGACAGTGTTATATATGAAGCTGGAGGTGGAGGAAGTGCATGGGGTGAGGGTGCTGGACATAGTGGGCATGGCACTGGTGGGACGTGGAACGCTGGTGCTGGTCCCCACTGGAAGCTTGGGTAGCTCAGAGAGGGGCAGGATCCGGCCTTTCTCATTCCATCTTGGGCTCTTGTAGTACAGAAAGCTGGTCACCAGGATGTGGGATCATGGTGGGATGGAGGACAGTGTGGTGTTTTGCTGTGGGGTGATGTTTTGTATATATCTCCCTAGAGCTCCTCAGCTTGCTTCCACCTCAATAACAACAGCCCCGCAAACATCATGTGGCCAGTTTCAGCCTAATATTCAGCTTTTTGCTCTAATTAACACCAGGTGGTAGCACTCCAACAGTTTAATTAGAGCTGATTAAGAAAAAGGGGAGAGGAGGAAGGGGGAAGATTGGACATGGACAGCACTGGGCTGCCTCCCACAGTGACTTCAGAGCTAAATAAGTCTGGTGCTGGGAAGGGAGTGATGTTTCTTGTGGATGGTGTTGCCCCCAGCCAGGGGCAGTGAGAAATGTGGGATGGGGACTACTGATCCTTTGGTCCCCTTGATCTTATCCCATGGGAAAGGCGAGGTTATCCTCCTTGGAGGAGGAGTGATTTGGCTGCCATCCCTGCGGGTGCTCCTTTCTGTCCCTCCAGCGTCACTAGCAGTGTCCCTGGAGCATCCCTAGGCAGCGTGCAGGGACAGGGAAAGGGGAAATGAACTCCCTCGGATGCTGGATTCATAACAACACAGCCATCCCTGTGCTGACGTCAGCTCACTTGGTGGGATGCAGCAGGGTTTGCTCTGGTGCCATGAACCCCTCCTGGGCTACGGGGGCTTTGCAAGGACCCGCAGCATCAGCCTTGTCCCAGCGGAATCCCAGCTAGGCATGTACATCTCAACCGGCATTGCAAATTGCTCCTGGAGGTGGGCTGAACTGAGGGGTCCTCCCCAGCCTTTGCAGCTGAATGTGAATGGGATGGTGAAAGGCATGAAAACAAAGCATCTCCCCTTGGCAGAGCCTGGCATAGGCACTGCATCCCGCACGGGTCCCCTAGAGCAACCCCAGCTTCAGCCATCTGGATTCAACCAGTCCCATCCCCGGGAGCCCTGCTGCTGCCTCTCACCTGTAGATCCTGTACCTGGTGGTGAAACCCTGCCGGTAGCGCTCCATGAAGTCCACGTACTCCTGGGCTCGGTAGAAGGGACCCCGGTCGGTGAGGAGCCAGTCAAGGGGTGCTCGGCCAGAGGAGGAGGATGAGGATGAGGAAGAAGGGGATGCTGGGCTGGAGACATGCTGCTCGGTGGCCACGCCGCCTGCCCCGCAGCACACGCTCAGGGCCAGGAGGGCTAGGGGCCACGGGAGCATCGGCAGGAGCCCGTCAGCACGCCGCAGGTTCTGCTGCCCCATGCTGCTGCTGCCCAGCCGGATCCTTCATTCTCTCGCCCCGCCACGCTCCTTGGGGACGGATCCTGCCCTGCAATGGCACCGCATGACGGGTAGATCATGAGTGCAGGGCAACTTTGTGCTAGGTGACATGGGTGTGAGTTCTTGTGGCCCTAAGGTCACCGGGGACTGGTGTGGAGAGGATGGGGAGTCATCCAAGAAAGAAGGGGACAGATTCTGTAGCATGGTCTATTGTGACAGCACAAGGAGAAATGGTTTCAAATTAAAAGAGGGGAGATTTAGATCCCGTCCCTAGAGACCCCCAAGGTCAGGCTGGACAGGCTCTGTGCACCTGATGAAGCTGTGGGTGTCCCTGTTTAGTGCAGGGCAGTTGGAGCAGATGGCCTTTAAATCTCCCTTCCAACTCAAATGATTCTATGAAGATCCCAGGGAGAGTCTGGGAAGCAGATAATGGATGTGGAGCATTTTGGGGGTGTACATCATGACTGTGAATAGTTTCTCTCAGGTTAGTTAAAAAACAGCCTGAAGGCATAGGAAAAGTTAACTGCTCTAGCTGTTGGTGTGGTGCTGGGCTTTCCTTTGTGCCATGTTAGTGGCTGAGATGGAGGACGAGTGGGTGTGCAGATGGATAGAATCATAGAATCATAAAGGTTGGAAAAGATCTCTAGGTTCCTCCAGTCCAACCATCCACCTGCCACTAGTATTGCCCACTAAGTCATGTCTCTCAGTGCCACATACATACATTTCATGAACACCTCCAGGGATGGTGACTCCACCAACTCCCTGGGCAGCCTGTGCCAGGTGGTTGAATGGGCTTGTCTACCCTGGGCTCGCCACATCAGTGTTTGGAAGATAACCAGCATTTATCTTGAGCTGAGACCTTACTGGTTTTGTAGCATCTGCACTGAGCATCTTAAAACACGGGAGGTTTGCTGGAAGCAGCATGGGGTCAGAGCCTGCATTTGCTGTGCTCCGTAGGGCAGCTAGTGATAAGGAGCTGCAAGGTGCAGGGGCTGAGCCAGAGCAGGGAGATGTTTCTTGCCTCGTGCAGCAAGGGCTGGTTGCCTAAAAACCTGCTTTGAACAGAGCAGAGTTCAAAGTCAGCACAGGAACGTCAGAACTGACTCGTTCTTCATTAGCCGATGTAAATGCTGGGTATAAAAATATGGAACTGGGCCACGGAGGGGAGGGCAGCAGGGATGCAGGGAGGGCTCCCGGGCTTATCTCTGGAGCCCAGCAAAGGCTCCAGACTTCAAACAGACAGAGCTGGGGCTTACCCTGCCTGTGTGCCAGCTCTGTGCCTTATCCCCAGGCCAGTTAAGACCTGGGAGAAGCCAGCAGCTGCAGGCAGGCTCTGGAATGGGATAGGGGTCAATGGGAACAAGGGTTTTGGGAACCCTATATTCACAGCTCTTCTAGGATATGCCCGTTATTCTCCATAGCAGGAGCCACCCAATACTCATCCTGCCAAGCACGCACCAACCCCACACTCTCCTAAACCAGGGCTTTGGCAGATGAATCATCCCACTTAAATACGCATTATTATTATTTTCCCCCTTTTCTTCTATTTTTAAACCCTTAAGGGTGTGCTTTGATGACGTGCTCTCAGCCGGCTCCCTGGCAATTTGGAACCAAAATTGAAGTTCTTGTCAGCTGCAATAACCCTGATGAAGGTGCCAGCAGAGCACAGGTGGGCTAGAGGCTGCCATGGGCTGCAGCACAGCCAGCAGGGCCGGGGGGGGGGGGGGGTGACCAACCCCTGTACACAGTGCTGATGTTCAGTTTGGGGACTTTTGCTACAAGGACACTGAGCTGCTGGAATGCATTCAGAGAAGAGCAATGAGGTTAGTGAAGGGCTGGAAGACAGGATATATGAGTGATAGAACATGAGGAAATGGCCTCAAATGTGCCATGAAAGGTTCAGTTGGACATTAGGAAGAATATCTTCACAGAGAAGGTCAACCAAGCATTGGGATGGGCTGCGCAGGGCAGTGGGAGAGTCCTCTTCCCTGCAAACATGGCACTAAGGGACACAGGTTAGTGGTGGGACCTTCTGCATTAGGTTGATGGTTGGCCTTGGTGATGCTGAAGGAACCAAGCTGATACCAGGGACCAGCTATCCCACACCATCATTAGCCACCCTGCTCTATTTGCTCATATTGGAGGTGGGTAGGATAAAATAAGTATGTAAGTGCAAATCTGTACTTGCAGAAGCAGCGGACAGCACAGCTCTTTGGTAGCTCATAACCCCATTGACCTCACTACTAGAGCTGGAAATAACTTTCTAATCACTTATCCTTGATCCAAAAGAATGGAGTTTTGATGAGAAGCATCTGACTACTCATTTTTTTCTTCTTCTTGATTTAGGGTTTGTATCACAAAAGCTGGAAAAATTCCAGCTTGCTAATTATTTTTTTCCCCTTTTCTATAAAAACCTTAACACGAAGGAAGAGGCATTTCAGCACAAATGTCCCTGGCAGACATGCCCAGGAGCACAGCCTATTTCCTGCCCAGCTCTACCTGGTCCTGGTGCAGCCCTCTCTGTCCCCGCTTCCTGCAGGCGACAACCCATGCATTGCTGGGATTGCCACGAGCTGCATCTCAGAAAATAGCTTCTTGCAAAACCCCGTATGTTCTGAGGCTTCCTCCTGCCCTAAGCACTGAGATGGCAATAGGATCACTTCTGCTTTTGGTGCCTTCACCCAGAAAGCGAGGGGCAGGAGGACATGCTGGGCTCCTCGTTGGCAGCTGGACAAGCCGTAGGACCCGGCAGCAGCATCACCCTACCAAGCTGTGCCTCGTCCTGCCTGCTTGGATGCCGCCAGCAAGGCAGCTCTGGAGCAACACGCTCCTCCACTAATCAAGCAGGGTTCGATAATTAAGACATTAGCTAATTGTCAGGGACATTAACATTGATTTTTGCCCTTTCACGCTGCAGAAACTGATCCGGCCGCCTGTATGCCGTGAAGCATTCACAAGGGGGTTGGCTGGGGATGTGTCTGAGCCCCCAGGTAGCTGATGCTGGCAGACGGGTGACATCCTGCTCCAGCATCCCTGGGGACAGGGCCAGCTGAGGTGCATCCATGCGGGAGCAATAGGAGAGGGCTTGCCTTGAGCTCCTGCCGATGCCTTTTAGCGGGGATGAAACTCTAACCGAGTCACCTTCTTATTAAATGTGGGAAAGATTTATCAAATTAAGGCCACTTAGAGAGGCTGGGCAGAGGCTAAGTGCCTGGAGCAGATGGGCTCAGCTGTGCATGCCGATGCTATTTGCAGCGCTGTGGGGTCAGCCCCACTCCCTGCCCACCCAGGACTGTGCAGGACCTGAATCCCGAGCACAGGGACAACCACTTCTGAGCCCACTGTCCCTGTCTGAGCAGCAATGTTGGTGATCCCCATCACGGCCCCGAGCTTGCTAAACGACTTCAATAAGTCACTGCCTCTCCCCCCCCGCCCATGAGACTGGTTTAAAAACCTGCAAGACATTATGATTTGGGTTCCTTTTATTAGCTTTTCTTAGAGCAAGGAACTTTAAGATGAGAGTAAAGGAAAATGTCAGAAAATCCCAGGACTCGGGGAGCTCAGGATTTGCATAAGACATCAGATGAGATGAAGCCCGGGCTGCGGTCGAGGGAGATGGCAGCTGCGCGTTCTGTGTCACACCAGTGCCATGTGTTGTGCCCTCTGGCTTTGCTCACCAGAGACTTCCAAACCCACAAGCAGAGACCCTCTTGAAAGAGCAACGTGCCAAATCCAGTTCCCTCAGCACGGCGGCTGCTTCCCCTGCCTGGGGCCGAGCTCGCAGCCCCGAGCATCCCCGAAGTCAGCTCCCGGGAGGATTGGGCGGGGGGAGGGGGGGAGCTCACGCACACAGCGGCATCCCCTCCTACTGTCGGAGCGAGCGCAGTGTGAAGTGGCTTCACCCCAATGGGCAGCATCAGGAGCAGAGGAAAAACATGCGGCGGTGTGTGTGGGGCCAGCCTCCCGCTCCCCGGGGCTCAGCAGCCCCCCGATCCCAGCCGGGGCTCAGCGCAGGGGGCTGCCCTGTGCAGACCCCACGGCTGCGGACGGAGGGGGCACACTGACACCTGCCGGCAGGTCCCGCAGCTCCGGCACCATAGAGGGACAGCCCGGCACCCCCAGCCCGTGCCCCACAGCTGCGTTTCGGGGCCGAGCACGGGACTCCTGGGAAGGAGAGGGACGGGAGGCACAGCGCCGCGCCGAGAGCTGCTGCTCTCGAGTCCGGCCGGAGTTTGGGCTCCTTTGGAAATGATGAAAGCCAGCGGTGAGCGAAGGGAAGCGGGCTGCTGGTATCGGCTTACCCGCTCCTCGCCCCGCTCTGCGGCACCGTTCTGGGAGCCTTCCCGTCCCGCTGAGAGCCAGCTGTTGCTCCAGGTTCTCCCAGCAGGGCAGCACAGTTCGGCACCTTAGCTGACCGTCTCCCCGGAGCAGCACAGCAGTGAGTCCGCAGCTCCCGCTCTTCCCAGCCGAGGGCAACTCCGCAACCCAACCGTGGGACACTGCCTCCCGCCTCCCCTCGTCCTTTCCGGGACATCTCACCCAAGGTCACCGAGCCACCCGGCGGGGCGGGGTCACCTCCCACCCATCCGCACCGTCCGACGCAGCATCCCACCCCACGGGGAGCATCCCCACTGGCGGAGGAGCTCGGCGATCCCGTCGGGCTTACCCCAGGCTCCGGGCGGCAGCGGCAGCAGCGGATCCCGCGGTCCGGTGGCGGCTCAGGCTTCCCGGTGCCGGCCCCGCCGCCCCATGGCGCGGCCCCGCAGGCGGGCAACCCGCACCGGGTCCCGCCGCGCTCCGCGGCCGCCGCCACCTCCACGCTCACCCCGCCACCGCCGCCGCCGCCCCATAATATATGCGGCGGCGGCGGCCAATGAGAGGAGCCGTCTGCCTCTCCGCGTCCTCCCATTGGTGGGCGCCGTGGAGCCGCGGGGGGAGAGGGCGCGCGTGGGGAGGCTGTGCGGGCACGCGTGGGGCAGCGCTCGGCCTCGGGCTTAACCCTGCGCGGAGCCCCGTGCCCAGCGGCTCAACACCCCCGCTTGTAATCGTGTACCACCATCATCTTTCATCCCAAGCCCCAGAAGTGGAGTTTTTCCCCCCAAAAAAGTGGTTTTGCCGAGGAAAGATTGAGATCCCTCTCCTAGAACCGTAGCGCTCCGGCCTGGGTTTGTCTGCGTTTTGGTTAGGGATGAATTTGGGTGAAAGGATAACCAGGTTCAGCGTGAGGGTGTGTAGCTCAGTTCTCTGCTCCCACAGTCTGCTCTGTGCTCTGCCCGTTGTGTGGGGTTGGACACCCACGAGGCACACTGCCCTTGGGGAGGCCCTCAGCTGCCAGCCGAGCCCCTGCAGGATGCCCTGCACCACTGTATGCAGCCCTGGCTCTGGGCAAAGCCCTTATTGGGCTCTATGTGCCGTGGGATGGAGGCAGCATTGGGCACACTGGGGGCCTCCAAGGGGATCACTGCCCACGAGGGGAGGGCGGTGCTCTGTCCTACATCACTGAGTTCATTCTTCCCTATATTTTCCTTATATTTTTCCTTATGTTTTGTCTTACGCTTCTCCTTACATTTTTCCTTTAGTGGTTGTCCCTATAGTTTTCCTTACACGTTTTCTTATCCCCTCCCTCACAGTATTTCTTATACCTTTCCTTACGCTTTTCCTTATCCCTTTTCTTATCATTTTCTTAATGTTTTTCCTATGTTTATCTTATTTCCCTCATTTTTTCCTTACAGTTCCCTTACTGTTCGTTTATATTGCCTTGCAGTCTTACATTTCCCTGCACTTCCCTTACATATATCCTACAGTTAGACTAGATGATCTCAGTGGTCTTTCCCAACCTCAGCGATTCCGTGACTCCGTATCTTCCTCTCCTTTCCCTTCCATTTCCTTTACACCCTCTTTGCATTTCTCTTACATTCCCCTCATCCTTCCTTTCCCCTATCATTTGTCACTACTTCTGCTCCGCTCTACGCATGGGGACGCGGTGCCGTCCTTCAATCACACCCCCTCCCTCAGCGCGGAGCCGGATGGGCTTTAAGACCCTCTTCCGACCCGAACCAACCCAGGATCCCGCGATTCCCTAAGATGTCGAGAAGGGGCTGAGCGGTGCTCTCCCTCCGAGCCGCGCCGTAACGCACCGCACCGCGCCGCACGGGGAGGTGCCGGTCCCCGCGTCCCCGCCCCTCGCCGCCGCCCGGCGCCGGAGCTGCAAGATGGCCTGGGCCGGGCTGTGCGCCCTGCTGGCCGGGTGCTGCCTGGCGGCCGGCAGCGGCCCCGCCGAGGCGGCGGCGGAGGCGGCGGCCAAGGAGCTGGAATGCAAACTGAAAAGCATCACGGTGTCGGCTCTGCCTTTCCTCCGGGAGAACGACTTGAGCATCATGCACGGCCCCTCGGCCGCCGAACCCAAGCTGCTCTTCTCGGTGCGCAACGATTTTCCCGGAGAGATGGTGGTTGTGGACGACCTGGAGAACACGGAGCTGCCCTACTTCGTGCTGGGTGAGCATCTCCCCGCGCCGCCCGGCCGAGGGGCTCCTCCCTGCGCTCCGCAGCCCCTCTGGGTCGAGCCCGGCCCGCTGCCCCCCCAGGGTTCTGCCCGTCGGGAAGCCGCAGCCCGCAGCGCTTCTCCGAGCGGAACCGCCTCCCCCCGGCGCGCTGCAGAGCGCTGCCAGCCGGGCATAGCGGCGGGTCTCCGCTGCGGGTCCCCGGGCAGGTAGCGCCGTGCTGCCGAGCATCGCTTCCCTACCGCTGATGGGCTCCTTCTATGTATCGTTATTACTATCATTTATATTTTCACCCCCACCTTAAGCCAATCTTTGCTGCTTTCTTTATGCTGTGCTTACAGCAAGGCCTCCATCGCTTGCTTCCCCAGGACCAAGCTGAGCTGTGGCATTTGCTGCAATCTTTTAATTTTGTGCTGGATACTGTTTTCCCATTCTTCCTGCATGCAGCCCCCACCTCACATGAACCCAACGGCTGCTCTCTCCATCGTGGCCATGCTCACCTCCCACACCCTTGGGTGCCCCATGTGTGTCCAAACGTCCCCTTTGTCCATGTGCCATCCCAAAAGCAGTGCGCCTGCACGTGCCTTTATGCTGCGATGCCATCCTGTGTGCCATCATATGAACAGGGAGGGGACAGCAGTGGCTCTACCTGGGTTGTGTCCCCTGTGCTTTGTCACCTTCCTGTCTCCCCCGGACCTCTCCACATGCACAAAACCTGCGATCCTATATCCGATCTCGGAGCAGCGCTGACTGCATCCCTCTGCTCCATGCGAAGGGCAGAGCCAGGCACAGGGCTGGGGGATGCCATAGGAGGGTTGTGGGGACACTCCCAAAGCAATGCCCAGGGATAGGGGGTGGCCAGAAGGGGCTGTGAAATGCGATGTCCCCATCCCCAGCATGGCCCCTCTCTGTGATGCTGCGGTGGAGGCCGGAGAGCGTTGCTGTGGCAACGGGGCCGCAGTGCAATGGATGCTGCGGGCCGCGCACGCGTGGCATTGTGGCATTTGATGCTCTAAAAGCCACACAGGTGCTCCTCCCTTTTTGGGAGTTGCTCCTGGGGGGTCAGAGCCCCACGGCTCTGGGGTTGGCACGGCCCCTTTGCAAAGTGTCATTATTATTATTCACCATCACGAATTTATTTGGGGGTATGTGTTGTCTCAGTTGGTTTATTTTAGGAGTTTGCCCCATTCTTTACGACCCTCTGGGTTACTCAGGGCTGTCCCTCCTCCTCAGCATCTTCAACCTTTGGAAGGGTTGTGAATTGTTGCTCAGCAGCTCCATGAGCTGCTCCTCTTCGCTGGTCCCCACTCCTGCATTCCTCCTCAGGCAGAGCCATGGTGGGGGGTGGGTTGTGGGGTTGTCACCTCTGTTTTACGGGGAGGGGATGCATGGGGATCGCAGCTGCTCTGCACTGGGATGTGGGGATGGAAAAGCACTCGGCTTGATCCTGATTTGAATCAAGGATGCCTCAGTCATTGGCTTTCATCTCGCTTGGTGCCTGTTGCATTAGTTATGGGTTTTCCTCACTCTCACTGGTTGGTGGCCATTAGGAAATGCTAATTTGCAGCTCAGTATTCCCTTCCCGCTCACTGTTCCCTCCCGGCCTCCTAGCAACATCAACCCGCACTCCATATCCCATTACCTGGCCTCACACCCATGCTGCCTTTTTGTCCCTGCAATTCTAGTTGCCAAAATGTAAGTTTGAGGGAACTGAATGAGCTGTTTTTGCCTTCCCACTCCAACCCTAAAGGTGTTCGAGAACCATGGGGATGTGGCACTGAAGGAGGTGGGCAGTGGGTATGGTGGGGTGGGTTGCTGGTTGGACTTGATGATCTAAGTGATCTTTTCCAACCTTAATGACTCCATGAAGTTGTGCTGAGCTGAGTGCTGCTCAGCACTCTCACTCAGAGTGAGCTGAGCTGCACTGGGATGTGGCACTATGTCCCTCCATGTCCCCAGGAGTGTCCCTTCTGCCCAGGCTGTGGCAGGGAACTTCATCTGCTCTGCAGACAGACACTCTGAACTTTAGTGGCTTTAATAGATTATCCTAAACTTGGGCCTTAATATGAGCCATCACAATTTCAAATTATCTTTCTTTTAAATTAAATAGATTCCTTTTTAAATACAAAAACAATTCTAATTTTTTAGAGGGGTGAGATTTTTCAAAGGCACCAATGAGGTGGGCATGTTTAGCCACTGTGGAATACCTCCCTGAAATACCTCATCGTTTCTATTCCTTTTCATGTCCTTAGTTTTTATTCTCTGCTAAGCTCCGGATCCCGCTGGAGAATTCTCTGTGACTCCTTTATGTGTTGGGGCCAGGGGGCACTGAGATGAGGACACGGGGTGCCATTAATTGGGGTGACAGATCCTTCGGCCAACCAAAGCTCATCCTTGCTATGGCCAAGGAACAGCAGGCAGCCCTTAGATTTCACAACCCCTGGAGCTGCCTTCTCCACATCACCTGTCTGCTGTGTGTGTTGCACTGAAGGTAATGTTTCTCAATAGCTTAGGATCACAGCCTTAATAAGGCTGGAGAAGACCCCTGAGATCCCCTAGTCCAACCCCAGCCCACCATGCCCACTGCCCACATCCCTCAGTGGCACATCTCCACTGTTCTGTAACACCTCCAGGGATGATGGCCCATCCCCTCCCTGGGCAGCCTGTGCCAAATTCTCACCAATCTTTTGGAAAAGACTTCGTTTTTGGGGAGGTGAGGGCCCACCCCAACCCTGCTGCCCCATCCCCATCTCATGTCCCCCAAGCCAGGGCACTGAGATGGGGTGCTCTGGGACCCACAGCATTGCCTCGCTGCTAACCTTGCACCTGCGAATAGGTGTAATGGTGAAATAATGGAGCAAATATTAAGAAATTCTTAAGTACCCAGAGAATAACCGAGTTAAATTATACCAGAGGAGCTCAATTGCCTTGCTTAGATTGATTGAATTACTAAATGAGCCTGACTAATGGAATGGAGTGGATATATCGGACTTTTACTCAAGATCCTGAAATAATTTCTCTAATAAGATTGTGAGCCATTAATTGAACTTGGCTTGGATCCTGGACACTGTCACATGCACCGAGACCCGTCGTGATGATCTATGCTCCCACCCTGCTGCTGGCAGGATGTTGCCCTTAAGACCCAGCCACCCAATGTGCCATTCAGGATGCCGCCCTCCCCGTCTCTGCTGGCCACCTCCTGTCTCCTCTGTAAGCATCTCACTGCTGCTCAACCTCCTCTCTCTGGTTCTTCAGTGCTGGCTTTGCAGGCTGGAAGCATCCTTGAGGCCACCGCCGTGCCCCACCACCTCTCTGGCTGGGAGCGTTTTGGTGACACACCGGATGTGGAGGGATGTTGTGTTTTGTTTTATTTATTTTTTTTCTTTTCCAACCCACAGACACAGGGATTTCATCTCTGGGTACCCGTTGCCATGGCAACTGCACATCCAGCCAGCTCCAGCAGCAGTGGGGCCGGGGCATCTCGCTGACCCAGAAAGCAGCGGGGGGAGCATGCTGTGATGCTTGGACCAATCCCATGGGGGGACATGGGTTTATGGGACAGGGTGGTTGTAGGGTCCCAGCCCTCGTTTTGGCTGCTGGGAGTGCAGGGTGCTGCTCCCATCTCCCCCAGCTGATAGCCTGGGTCCTGTGCCCCAGTGGAACTGAGACTTGCTCCCATCCTTTGTGGGTGATGTTTTGGGGATGATATTGCCCATACTGGGACTTCTAAAAGTACCCTAAAGCTGATGTCTCACCTCTGCCCTTCTATCTCTAGGCCAGCAGAGTTTGTGTCTGGGTCCATCCCACATTCCATTTTCTATTTCATTTTTAGGGTTGATTATCCAGCTAAACTCTCTTGGCTGCCTGATCTGGTGGTTTGCAACCCTGTCTGTGGCAGGGGGTGGATCATCCACTGGATGATCTTTAGGGTCCCTACCATCTTAAGCCACTCTCTGATTCCATGATTTTGTGATAAACAAGGCTGGATGACCATCTCTCTTTGTGTCTCAACACGCAAGAGCCCTTTAAAGGAAAGAATTTTTGCCTCCCGGGATTGGGGAAGCATCTGGATAGTGACAGATCCATCATTTCAAGCTGGCTGTCCTTTTCCTTGCGCGTTGCTGGGGCTCTTCTGCTCAGATCAGGAGGGTTTGCATGGCAAAGGGAAGGCTCTGGTTGCTGGCTTGTGGCTGCTTAACACTGGGAAGCACCAGTAGTGGCACATCGGTCACAGAAGCTTGGATGTGAGGATGCGGTGCAGGAGGAGACACGGTCCCTCTCCTGGCTGGCTCTGAGGCATTTCAGTAATTAGTATGACTAATGAGCATAGCAGAGCAAGCAGATATCAAGGTTGTAGAGAGCTGGCTTTGCTTCCACAGGGAACTGATCCAGCTGAAAACTGACCTGCTAGGGGAAGGAGATGGGGAAGGGCTGAGCAGAGCCCACCTGTACCTTTGCGTGAGGATTTGGGGTGTTTAAGCATGGGAGGGCCTGGAAGAGCCTTCCATCACCTATGGTTCTGCCTCAGAATGCCAATGGTTGCATTGGTGGCCTGTGATGGCAGCTCCTGTGATCCCCTCCACTGGGCCAGGGCTGGAGGTGGCACCCAGAGCTGAGAGCACTGAGACACCCAACCATGATGTCACCATCACAGTGTGCTGTGGCTGCCTGGGAAAGCAGGTATTAGCAACCCTGAAATATCCTGGGGACAGGCGCTTGTGTGATGGGAGACAGTTACCATGGAAACCTCCTTCAAATGAGGAGGAAAAAAAAAAAAAGGGAAAAGAACAAGAAAAAAAATCCCGAAATTTAAAGCAGTGCTTGTAGCTCGGAGGAACTGTAGACCTTATTATGGGTTTTGGCACCCCCCTTTCTTTTTTATTTGTTCCAGCTAACAGCTCCAGGAGACAAGCCAATTAATTTGAACATCCCCAAGGGAGTGGGAGAGCGAGGGCACAGGGCTGGGAACTCAGTGCTGTGTTTGCAATCACTTTT